ATCGACTATGAATTTAGTTGACACTTCTATTATAGAGAAAGGGCAAATAGCGATATTAAAATATTTCTTCTAATTTCCTTTCAGTGTGAATGGATCCGTGCACCATGCCACTGGTTTATTATAAAAGACTATAACTCAGGAGCAGCCAGATTGAAGAAATGCATAGGACAAAATATGGGGAAAGGGCATGAAATTTCAATGTCTTTTCCAAGTATGCTGCTCTCCCCAAATCTCCAAATGTTGAACTATCCAGAAGGTCCGTGAACTCTATCCTTTGAGGGTTTTATGGAAGCTTGATTACATAGGCATGATTGATTCAGCCTTCATTCTCTCCCACATCCCCAGAGGTGAGAATGGAAGTTTCAACATTCAGGTTATGTTGTTGGTACTCTTGTCAACCAGCCCCCATCCTATACTAGTAGATGTTCCTTCCAAGAGTCAATTAATTGACATAACAGAGACATCTTTGCTGCTGTCATCACTTAGGAAATTCCAGAGGACTTAGGAGCTCAATGCCAGAAATAGGGATACAGATCAAATACATTTATTATAAATCACAGTATCACACCCTCAAAACACTTATATTAGTTGCATCCCATAAATTTTGACATGTTTTTGTTCAGTTTAACATTTTCTAACTTCTCTTGAGTCTTGCTCTGTGATCCATGTATTATTTAAAATTTCCAAGTGTTGAAGGATTTTTTAATCTTTCTGTTAATTGATTTTTGTTTGTTTCATTCCATTTAGGATCAGAGTCCATATTTTGGAAACAATATGTATTCTGTCAGTGACTAGAATTCTTCTATATAATAAAAGCCTAATATGCAAATTGTCCCCTTAACTGGGAGTTTGGCCAGGGGGCAGGGCCAGCTGGCCAGCCAACCACCTACAGCCCCTCCCCCCAGTCAGCCCCAATCGGGGCGGGCTGGCAGGACCCCACCCATGCACAAATTTGTGCACCAGGCCTTTAGTATTTTATAAATGTCAATTTTATTCAGTTGGTTGATGGTGTTTAGCTCTGTAGCTTTCTTAATCTTCTTTCTACTAGTTCCATTGATAGCTGAAACAGGAGTGTTGAAGTCTCCAAATAAAAATTGGGACTTGCCTATTTCTTTTATTTCTGTCACTTTGCTTCGTGTGTTTTGACGCTAACTTAAAGAGTATATACATTTAGAATTGTTTTAATTCTGGATGAATTGAACACTATCATCTTTCTTTTGATTTGTATTTGAACGGTGTGTTTTATTCAGCCTTTTCCTTTTAAACTACCTAAAATATATTTGAAATGAGTTTCTTGTAGGCAATAGTTTATTTGGGTTGTGGTCTCTCACTCTCTCAATCCACTCTGACATTGTCTGTTTTAGTTGGTGTGTTTAGGCCTTTTACATTGAATGTAACAAATCCTTACAGTTTAGTGGTAAGGCTCTCTGCTTTCATTTATTCCCCCCAGTTATAGAACCTTGAGCACAACACACTGAGAATACTGGGACCGTAATCATATTTGTCCCGGCTTATGAAGTGGATCCATGTCAGACAAGTGACCACAAAACAAATAGCTCCTAATCTTTTTCCAAAACAACATCGTGTATAGAACTTCAGAGCAACAGGTACTCAAGAACAGTAGTAGTTGTGTTAAGCGTGTGTACTATCCATAAGTAATTTGGAATCAAAGGGGGGGGGGGGGGGGGAAGGCAACTGTTTCTGAATTCATCCCAAGTTTTGCCACAATGTATGATATTTTGGTATTTCCAAATTATATTAGTCTGTAATTTTTTTATTGTACAATGTATAATGAGACTAAGTTTCCATAGCTATGTATTGGGAAACTCATGTAATAAATACATGGCATATAAGGCATTTTCCCATCTAACTTCATCTTTCTCTTATCCCATACCTCCAGTTATATCAGACTTTGTACCATACCCGTATAACTATTGTATTGAACAAGTTTGACTTATGCAAGATCCTCAGAACCCATTTTATTTTTGTCTTTCACGTCAATGTCAATTCCACTGTCCACTTGTTTATTCTGCAGAGTTAGTTCTCCCTCCAACTCTTTGAAGGGCAAGTCTTAATAACTTCGCTGATCGCTTTCAGGAAATAACATTATTTTCAAGAACTTTATTCAGAACTAAAGCTTTCCCTCCTTGCCCACCTCAGGCCCCCTACCAGCTGAAGGAGGAGAGGAGAGAGAGAGGGGAGGGGGATGAGAGGAAGAGGGAGAGAGAAAATTGACATGAGAGAGCTACATCAGTTGGTTGCCTCCTGCTTGCCCTTCATTGGGGATCAAGGCAGCAGTCTGAGTATGTCCCCTGACCAGGATTCAGACTGGCACCTCTTGGTTCATGGTTTATACGCAACCACCGAGCCACACTGGCTGGACTGGTACCTTTTTTATTTAGATATAATCTACAAGAGCATTCCCCCAAATTGCTTTGTTTTGCATTTATTGCAGTACCGGCTATTTTTTGTAGTTACTTAACTTAGATACAGTAATTGGCGTGCATAGCTGTATGTGTTTGCATTGGAAAAGTACTGTGCTTTAAGAGTCAGAAGACCCAGATCCAGATTTGGTTGTCATTTGTTAGTCACTTAACTTATCTGAGCGTTAGTTTTATCCTTGCCAAAGGGCTAATATAAGCCTCCCTGATTTCACACAGAAGGTATAAAAAGTGGTTAGGGGGAGGTACTATAAAAACTGAAGCATAATTAGATTGCTACATTAAAAGTATTTGAGGATTTTAGTTATTTATGTTTTTAGTAAATAAATGTAAAATCTGATATTGGCAAACCAGTTGTCCTTTTATTTTAAGGAAAATCCAGTCAGTTGATTGATTACTAAACATTTTTTTACATAAATTTACTTCTGAAGAGGTTTTATTGTATTAGTTACCTAAATAACAATAACTGCTTTTATTTGTTGAGCATTCACAAAGGGCTAAATACTGTGCAGTTACTACATACATTGTTTCACTTAGTTCTCATAACAACCACTGAGGAATTGTTGAAGACAGAATCTAGGCCTATCACATTCTAAAACCTCCCGGCAAAGAGCGAAGGCCTGGGAGGAAAACTGGTGCCAGCAGCCAGGGGAAGGGGCCCCCGAGGGGCCCCAGACTGTGAGAGGGCACAGGCCAGGCTGAGGGACCCACCCAAGTGCACAAATTTTGGGGCACCGGGCTTCTAGTCCTACATGATAAAAGCCTAATATGCAAATCAACCGAGTGGGGGAACAGCTGGTTGCTATGATGTGCACTGACCACCAGGGGGCAGACGCTCAGCGCAGGAGCTGCCCCCTGCCCACAGGCCCCAGGCCAGCCAAGGCAGGTGCCAGCAGAGGCCCCCGATCGCCGGCCAGGCCTAGGGACCCTACCTGTGCCTGAATTTCATGCATTGGGCATCTAGATACATAATAATACAGGAATAAATGCATCTTTAAGAATAAGTGTTTTTAGCCCTAACTGGTTTGGCTCAGTGGATAGAGCGTCGGCCTGTGGACTGAAGGGTCCCGGGTTCGATTCCGGTCAAGGGCATGTACCTTGGTTGCGGGCACATCCCCAATGGGGTGTGTGCGGGAGGCAGCTGTTTGATGTTTCTCTCTCATCAATGTTTCTAAATCTCTATCCCTCTCCCTTCCTCTCTGTAAAAAATCAATAAAATTTTTTTTTTTAAAAAAGTGTTTTTAAACTTTTGGCTAAATACCCAGAAGTGAGCAGTATTACTGGGTCATACGGAAGTTCTGTTCTCAAGTTTTTGAGGAACTTCCACACTGTTTCCCATAATGGCTGTACCAATTTAAATTTCCACCAGCAGTATGCAAGGGTTCCCTTTTTTCCACATCCTCTTCAATACTTGCTGTTTTGTGTGTGTTCTTGTAATAATAGCCATTCTAATAGCTGTGACATAGTATCTCATTGTGGTTTTGATTTGCATTTCCCTAATAAGTAATTATGTTGAACATCTTTCCATAGATCTGTTGGCCATCTGTATGTCTTTGGAAAAGTGTTCAGGTCATCTTTTTAAATCAGATGTTTAGTTGTATGCAGTTTGTCTATTTTGGATATTAGTCCCTTATTGGAAGTATCATTTGCAAATAATCTCTCATTCGGTTGACTGCCTTTCTGTTTTGTTGATGGCTTCTTTTGCTGTGCATTCTTTAGTTTGATGTAGTCCCATTTACTTACGTTTGCTTTTTGTTCCCCTTGCCTTGGAGCCCAGTTCACAAAAACATCTCTGAGACCAGCATCCATAAGCTTAGTTAGTGCTTATGTTTCATTTTGTGCATTTTATTGTCAGGCCCTACATTCAGATCTTTAATTACTTTTGAGTTAATTTTTGTGTACAGTGTAAGATCATAGTCTAGTTTGATTCTTTTGCATATGGCTGTCCAGTGTTTCCAACGTCATTTATTGAAGAGATTTTTCCTTTATTGCCTATTCTTGGCTTCTTAGTTGAAAATTCGTTGCCCATATATGTGTGGAGGAATGTTTAATATATTCTCTACCTTGAACTTTCTCACAGCCATCTTTTAGCTTTTTGATTTAGCATAGTGGCTACATGAAAACTATCTAAAATTACCTATTATGATTATAGGTAATTATCATAAATAGTTAATTATCATAGTTAATTGACTACTAAACTATCAATTAATGCTTATTTTATGTATTTTTTAGGTCATTCCTGGTTCATTTGCATCCTTGAAGAGCATCTGTAGAAGAGGAAGGAAAAGATGGGTGTGAAAACATTTACTCATAGCTCTTCTTCCCACAGTCAGGAAATGCTTGGAAAGCTAAACATGCTGCGAAATGATGGACATTTCTGTGACATCACTATTCGTGTCCAGGACAAAATCTTCCGGGCACATAAGGTGGTACTGGCAGCTTGCAGTGATTTTTTTCGCACTAAACTTGTAGGCCAAGCAGAGGATGAGGACAAGAATGTGTTGGATTTACATCATGTTACAGTGACTGGTTTTATCCCCCTTCTAGAATATGCTTACACAGCCACTCTGTCAATTAACACAGAAAATATCATCGATGTGCTGGCTGCAGCCAGCTATATGCAAATGTTCAGTGTTGCTAGCACCTGCTCAGAGTTCATGAAATCAAGCATTTTATGGAATACACCCAACAGCCAACCGGAAAAGGGTCTCGATGCTGGACAAGAAAATAACTCTAATTGCAATTTCACTTCTCGAGATGGAAGCCTTTCACCCGTGTCGTCAGAGTGCAGCGTGGTAGAAAGAACCATTCCCGTCTGCAGAGAATCCCGGAGAAAGCGCAAAAGCTACATCGTTATGTCTCCCGAAAGTCCTGTCAAGTGTAGCACACAGACAAGCTCCCCCCAGATACTGAATTCATCAGCTTCCTACCCAGAAAATAGAAGTCAACCAGTTGACTCTTCTCTAGCTTTTCCCTGGACTTTTCCTTTTGGAATTGATCGAAGGATTCAGCCTGACAAGGTGAAGCAGGCAGAAAACACCCGGACGTTAGAACTGCCTGGCCCATCTGAGACTGACAGAAGAATGGCTGATTTTGTGACTTGTGAGAGCACAAAAACGACCTTGCCTCTGGGTACCGAAGAAGATGTCCGGGTGAAAGTAGAAAGGTTAAGTGATGAGGAGGTGCATGAGGAAGTACCCCAGCCCGTCAGTGCATCTCAGAGTTCACTGAGTGACCAGCAGACAGTGCCAGGAAGTGAACAAGTCCAAGAGGACCTTCTGATTAGTCCACAGTCTTCCTCAATAGGTACAGTGTTTTCTGTTTTTCATGTTGCTATAATCAAATCAGCTCAAGCATTTTTAAGTACTTACTAGATTAAAGGTTTGTGCTGGGTCGTATAGGAAATATTGGGAAGAATAAAGCATAACTGGATTTTTTTTTAGATGTTGCTACTAGTACTATAATTTTTTTTAATAAGTTACGCATTGGGGAAAAAAAACAGTTGAACAATGCCTGATGGGACAAAGATACATACAGGTACATATGACAGAATTATGAATTACTTCCAATGCAAAAAAAACCCAATCTTTAAAAAGTCCAGTTAGTGTTTTATTCTTTATTAAAATATTTACTGAAAACGTAACATGTGCCAAGCATTGGAGATACATGGTTTTTAAAAAGGGGGGATTTAAGCCCTAAATGGTTTGGCTCAGTGGATAGAGCATCGACCTGTGGACTGAAAGGTCCCAGATTCGATTCCGGTCAAGGGCATGTACCTTGGTTGTGGGCACATCCCCAGTAGGGAGTGTGCAGGAGGCAGCTGATCGATGTTTCTCATCGATGTTTCTAACTCTCTATCCCTCTCCCTTCCTCTCTTTAAAAAGTCAATAAAATATATGAAAAAGGGAGGAGGGGGTTAATAGTCTAATTGAGGAATCAGATGTGTAAATCAATGGTTAGTTAGTGTTAGGCAAGAGATATGAACAAAGTGTTATAGGTTCACAAAGAAGAAGAAAAAAAGTTAATGCTGGGTATTTTTACCTTGGATGTTAACTGGGAGTTTGCCCAGACAAGGGAATGACATTTCTTTGAAAATGTATCAAAGCATGGAGGTGTGGAAGAATCCTATATAATAAAACCCTAATATGCAAATTGACTGGGAGGCAGAATGACCTGTCACTATAATGCACACTGACCACCAGGGGGCAAATGCTCAATGCAGGAGCTGCCCCCCCGATGGTCAGTATGCTCCCACAGGGGGAGTGCCACTCTGCCAGAAGCCCGGGCTCACAGATGGCGAGCACAGCCAGCGGTGGCGGGAGCCTCTTCCACTTCCATGGCAGCACTGAGGATTTCCATCAGTCGAACATCCCCTGAGGACTCCCGGACTGCGAGAGGGTGCAGACCAGGCTGAGGGACACCCCCCAGCCCCCGAATTCACAAATTTGGTGCATCGGCCCTAGAAAATAATAGGAGGTAAGATAAAATGAGTGGTTGAGAGCATGTTGTGAAGAGCTTTGAACACTGGTTTCAGTTAGGATTGCATTCAATGGCTTAAACCAAACAGGATTTTATTTTTTATCGCATAAAATGTTACGAAATGGGAAGTCCAACCCTTGCCGGTGTGGCTCAGCAGTTAGATTTTACCTGTGGTTTTTGTTATTAAGATTTTTAAAATTGATTTTTAGAGAGAGAGGAGAGAGAAAAAAACATAGATGTCAAAGTGAAACATCAATCTGCTGCCTCCTGCACGTTCCGTATTGGGGATCAAGCCCGCAATCGCGAGCATGTTGAATTGGCAACCTTTTAATGCATGGAATAAGCCCAACCAACTGAGCCACACCTGCCAAGGCAGAGTTTTACCTGTTCTTTTTAAGTTCTCTTTATTACCATTTGCCCACCAAAAGGCTATAAAATCTAACACCCCCAGTTTAGGGCAAACAGAAGCACTAAATATAGCAAATAGAAAAAATAAGTTTGGGTTGGGTTTTGCTACTCAGGAAGGTAACTAACTATCAATATCTGGTAGAGTTCAAGAAAAAATTTTATAAGTGAGAGGGACTTTGTGATATTGTTTCATTATTTATCTTGAAATAATTATCTGTAGCACCAATGACAGACACATAAATAGTTCTAGATAATCCACAGTTTATTATCTTAACAAAGAAATTCAGTTTTAACATACAGGTCCTAGAGAGGATTTATCTTACTACCATCAAGGATTTGGCAGTACATGGAGGTTAAGTGTGTTTATAAGTGCTTTGATAATTATAGTTTTAATTTTTTTTATTTTTCTTGAAGTTTGTGGATTAAGACAGTGTAGAGTCTTGAGTAAAAGATCAAGCTTATGGAGTCTTGTTTTTGTTTTTAGCAATATCAGTGTAATGTGTGGTTGTGCTACTGGAGAAATAGGTTGGGATTTCCCTAGTCAGGAATACAGAATCTAATAACTTTTTTCCTGCAATTACAACATAGATCTTTAGCATAAGAAAGCCTCCATACACCCTAGAAATAAATAAATAATAAGCAAACTAACTCATGGCTTCATTGGAGGTAAAGGTGTCCCCTAATGCTTGGTTCCTATCCTTGGTGCCTTCTGTCATTGACAGGGAGGCCATCCATTGGAAACATCCACTGCATCAACCCCTTAAAATCCCCACCTCAGTGCTGGTCCAGTGTTGATGGTGCATCTCAGATGAACACTCTTGTTCCTGTCAGCACCGCCCCCCTCCCAGATGGCCTCCTGAAAATTATCCTTGGGGAAACTGAGTCAGTTGGAAGATAGTATAACACTTAATGTGACAGTGAGAAAACACGAAAGAAGCAGATGTTGGCCTGGAAGAGGTGCAGTTTTAGATTGAGATGACTCAGGAGAACTGCAGTGGCCCATAAGATTATGCTTGTGCCCGACGTGCCAAGGGCAGGTTATACCTCAAAAGGAATTTTATTTTTTAATGTTTTTACTTTATTTTTATTGCTTATACTATTACAGATGTCCCTATCTCTCTGGCCATCACCGCACTATTGTCTATGGATTATGTATATATGTTATTTGGCTAATCCTCTCACTTTCTTTTATCCAGACACCCCCTTCCCCTTTCTGCCCTCCCCTGTGAGGGATTTTAGATGTGAACTCTTGTTATTGAGGTTTCCGTGTAAGGCAACAAGAATTTCAGCTCAGTCTCCACAGGTCCTCCATTTCTGCCAATGCCCCGTTGCAGAGTGCACCAGGAGCGCACCTGTAATTAAACAAGTTGAGTTCATTACTTGAGTTCACACACCATGGGTCTTTAGGGTTCAGTCAGCAGATGTTAGAAAGGACTTACTGGATTTGGGCTTGAGTTAGGTGATTTAGGGAAGATTAAGAAAGCGTGTTTTCTCAGGACTGGTAATGTCAGAAAGCAGAGATAACTCTATGATTATCTTAACAAATGTCTAGGAATATAGACCAGAGTGAACCTAAAACAGCAGTAGCTTATGTTGGGTATTTTTGTGATTACACATTGACATTGTTTTTGTGTGTGCTTACACAGAGTTATGTGTTTTGTTTCAGACCATGTGACCTGGTCTGATGCAGGTGTTCTGGGAGATTGTTTTATGTCCAACAGAAGACCACCAGGCCCAGTGTCCATGTCCGGCCAGTTCCTAAATATTAAGGGCTGCTTTTTCTCTTCCTCGAGTATGAAATGAAATATTGTATTTAAAGCATTTAGAACAGTGGCTGGAATGTGGTAAATGCTCAGTAGTGGATGGCCACTGTGATTATTTTTCACCACCAGAAAAGACTTTTTGTAAGGAGTCAGTTTATGCAGCAGAAGCTATATAAACAGCACTCCCTATTGGTGGAAGAGAGTAGCATCTCTCTTGATGAGGTAGCCCTTATATAAAGCTGATTGTTTCTATAAATCAGCTTTACTGTTTCATTAAGGTGAGAAGGATCTGTTCAGAATTCTTAGTCCCAGTTAAGAGAGCAGAATCCAGAGTGTAGAAAGGGAGCTTCAGTTTAATAATTTAAGAAACATCACTATCACCTCAAGAAAGTAATATTGAATGGATATCCTACTCTTACATCAGTTCAAATAAAATTCCAATTCATATGATTACTTCTCATTGGTAAAAACCATCAGCATCTCAGGAAAAAGAGTTTACAAGATTTGTTTTTTCCAATAGTTGCATGTGATACAACACTGTTACAGTGTCTACACTATGGATGGAATTCTAAAAGTATATTTTGTTAAACTCTTAATTTAGTTTGGAGTGTTTTGTGTTTGTTTGTTTTAGCTTTTGGCTCATTGAATAGCCATGAGAGAGAAGAGAGTGTGCCCTTTGCTCACTATCAATCAAATTAGGGATCTAGAGGCCAAACGTTAGATGATATTTTAGAATGTGGAAATAGCCTTGTTTCAAGGGAGACCATCTGCAAGACGTATCTTGTGCTCCATTTTAGTTCTTTTTCACCAGCTTTTTAAGGCAATTCTTGACAATGTGAGAATTAATCCAAAGGGTAGTGGTTTTTATTTTCACCTCACCAAGACCCCACTCCCGCCTGTGTAGCTTGCGTGGTGGAGAGAAGCAAATGTCTAGAACAATCTTACTAGCCTGCCCTAATCATATCTCCAGGCCTTTTTTGCAAGACTTTGCCTGTAAGATTTCATATTGCCTGTATTCTGAATAACTGCAGAATTGTGTGTGTGTGTGTGTGTGTGTGTGTGTGTGTGTGTGTGTGTGTGTGTCTCCATGGTGACCAGGTCCAAATATTGGGATTTTTTCAGTTTTTATCCTAGGACAGATTGAAATGTTAGTCTTTAGTTCCTTCTCTTTAAAGGAAAAGTGAAAATGGTATGATATTGACAAGTGAACAGGTCTTTCTAAACGAAATGAAGCATTATCCGACCCCTAAACCCACACCTGGATCAACAACAAATCAGAAGGACCAGGAATAAGTTGGATAAGTAGGCATATTGGGCAGGGGACCATAAATGTCTTCGACAGTAAGGGAAGGAGTAAAAGGAAAGACAGGCATAGAATGCTAAGCACACAACAGTAAGGGTGGTAGAGGGCGGGCAGGAACAGTGAGGCACAGTTGGGGTTGAATATAAATGCATACAGTCTTGTCTCTTTCAAAAACCTCGACCAGTGTGTTAGAACATTGTGTAATAATTGGTGTTCTTGATAATTTTTGTGAGCCTACTCTCACACTAAAAACAATATGATTTTTTAAAGGTACTTTACAAGTATTTGAAAAGATGCTTAATTTTAGAGGAGAGGTAAGTAGATACCAGAGCACTAAGACCAGTTTTCCCCTAAGACGAGTGGGGAATGTCTGGCCCGTGGGCCATATAAGGCCCTTGAAATCGTTTGGTCTGGCCCTGCCAAGGCTTTAGGGGCAAGTTAATTAAATGTTTGACCGAATATAGCAGGCTGAATTTTAAGCTGATACTTTTGTATGGCCTGCAAATGATGTTATAAATATCCAAATGGTCCTTGGCACAAAAAAGGTTCCCCACCAAAACACAAATCAGCTCAACTCCAAGAGAGAGGGAAATAGAAGTCAAGACCCAGAGGATGTGAAAGCTGTGAAATCTTAGAGCAGTTGCTCTACACATTAAGTAGGAACCCCAAAGTTCTATACCAGTAGAACTAATCCTGCGTCCCTTCCTCCAGGGGACTGTAGAAAGACTGTGTTGGCATTGTGCAGACTAGAAGATAAAAAGCAAAAAGGAGGGACGTGGCAACCACCAAGACCTCTTGCAAATTTGCATCTCCATGACTGTGGTTTAGGTAGTGCCCCCAGGAACCGAACACAAGGAAATGTAAAGCTTCTCTGAAAAGGGACTTACTCATCCTAACTTCAGCAAATCAGTTCCTTGCAAACCATTTTCAAGGGTGATAGCTACGTCAGAAACAACCAGGGCACACAAGGAAACACGGCAGACGGAGAATCGGAGAATCGGCAGGAAAAAGCAAGCAGCAGAGATAAATTGGCATGGTTTTCATAAAGAGACAGAAAACAAACGTGCTTACTATGTTTAACAAAAGAAGCAAGCTTGAACAATGATTGCAGAGAACAGTAAACTAAAAAGTAATACAGCAGATTTGTGGGGGAGGACTTCTAGAAAAGAAAAAGTCAACATTTTGGCAGCAGATTGGACTTAGCAAAAAAGAGAATTGGTGAATCGGAAGTTAAATTAAAAGAGACTGTATTAGAGTTCTCCAGAGAAACAGAACCAAGAGGACAGATACCGATACATAGGGATTTATTAGGCGGGATTCACTGACTGGTTATGGAGGATGAGAAGTCTCACAGTTTGACATCTGCTGGCTGGAGGCCCAGGTAAGCTGGTGGTGTAGTTCCAGTGCAGACACAAAGGCCTGAGAACCGGGAGAGCTGATGTCCAAGAGCAGGAGAGGGTGGACATCCCAGCTCAAGCAAAGAGCAGATTTGCCCTTCTTGACCCTTTTGTTCTGTTGGTCAAGGGATGGGATGATTACCCCCTTGCATTGGTGAGGATGATTCTTACTCAGTCTACGGATTCAAATGCTAATCTCTTCCAGAAACATCCTCACAGACACACCCAGAAATAATGTTTTACCAGCTCTCTGGGCATCCCTTAGCCCAGTCACGTGGACATAAAAATTAACCATCATAGAGCAGTGGTAGAGACAGCAGTGGAGAAGGTAAGGGTTATGGACAATACAAACGTAGGTTTGATGGAGTCCTAGAAGGAGAAAAGAGAACGGCTGAGAATTTTCCAGAATTGATGAAAGACACCAGCAAATCCCAATAAAAATAATAAAAGAAACAAAGCTGGACACATTATAGAGACAATGGGGGGAGGGTGGTGACAGTACTTTCAGAAGAATGTCTGACTTTTTAATAACATCAGAAGCCAGGGACTCTTACCTTGCTGTCCATATCCTTTTTTATTTTTAGGGATCTGTAGCTTTTCTTACAGATGGTTAATGCTAAAAAATTTTAAAAATAGGTTATGAATATCATATAACTTTTAAATTTCACTTACCTGTGACAACATGGATAAGTCCACAGTATTGAAGAAAATAAGACACAAGAATACATACAATGTGACTCAATTTATATAAGTTTACAATCAGACAACACTGAACTGTACTATTTATGGTGAGAGTGACAGACTTTTCTTAAAGGGCACTGGTAGTATTTTTAGACTTAGCTGCCACGTGGTCTCTATTGCAGCCTCGCTGACTCCACTCTGCCATTGTAGTGATGGGACATGGTAGATGATGGCACATGGCTGTCTTCCTGCAAAAATGACCCCCCGTTTATGGATACCTGGATTTGAGATGAAATGACAAGGAAGAGGGTCAAGAAAAAGGAAGGAAATGGTAACCATTAAAGTCAGGATCCTGGTTGCCTCCTGGAAGGAAGGGCTTGCCAGGGAAGAGTAAATAGGGACTGCTAGGCTGCTGGCAGTGGTCTAGGGGGACTTGTATGGAGACTGCACAGGTGCTCACTTTGTAGCTAATTTTTAATTCTGTGTAAAAGTTGTATGAACAGTAAGTTGTATGTCACAATAACGTTTTTAATGCCATTAAGTTTATATATTTTTTAATATATTTCAGAGAGAAAAGGGGTGGGAGAGAGATAGAAACATCAATGATAAGAATCGTTAATTGGCTGCCTTGTACACGTCCCCCACTGGCCAAGCCACAATAAAATTAAAAAAAAATAAAAATTGTCGCCCATCCAGTATGGTTCAGTGGTTGAGCTTCAACCCATGAACCAGAAGGTCATGGTTCAATTCCCAGTCAAGGCACATGCCTGGAGTGGCTGGCTTGATCCCCAGTAGGGGGCGTGCAGGAGACAACTGATCGATGTTTCTCTCTCTCCTCCTCCCTTCCTCTCTCTCAAATCAGTACCTTAACCAATAAAGAAATTAAAGATTTTAAAAAAAAGGTTCCTTAAGTGATTGTTATAACATTTAATTTTGCGTGAATTTTTGCTTAGTTTACATTTGAATTGCTGTTTTCTAACATTTATATCAAAGAAATGGTCCTAAAGGTTTAAAGTAATATAAGACCATTATCTTACCTGTGATTTCTTTTTAAATCACATTAACATTTAAAGTATTATAGAAAGCTTTTTTAAAAAAGTATATTTTATTGATTTTTTACAGAGAGGAAGGGAGAAGAAGAGGAATAGAAAGTTAGAAACATCGATGAGAGAGAAACATCAATTCAGCTGCCTCCTGCACACTCCCTACTGGGGATGTGCCCACAACCAAGGTACATGCCTTTGACCAGAATTGAACCTGGGACCCTTCAGCCCGTAGGCCAACGCTCTTTCCACCGAGCCAAACCAGTCAGGGCTATAGGACACTTTATTAATTCAGGATATGCACGTACATTACTTCAGCGGTCACCAACCTTTCAGACCTCATGGACCACCAGGGGTCCGGAGACCACCGGTTGGCAACTGCTGCATTAGTCTGTTTTTAAAGACTTAAAGTTTCAGCTTGCAATTAGTGCCTTGGCTTATTTTCACTACAGTATTGACACCTGTCTTCTTTTATTTTCAGGCTCGGTAGATGAAGGTGTCACCGAAGGGTTACCTACGCTTCAAAGCACTTCCAGCACCAATGCTCACGCAGATGACGATGATCGGTTAGTACTAACGTAGTAGGTTGTTTTCTTTTAAGGACTGTGCTTGCAACTCTTAAGTCTTTTATCTGGGATTATACAATAAGTTTATTGGGACCTCATTTTGGTATATTTTTCAGAGTAACAAGGTAGCTTTATCACATCAATAATCAAACCACCTGTACAGCAGTTTTTAGTATTTTTAAAACTGCCCGGTCCCATCTCTTTAAATAGTATCTGTATCAGGTTTGGCAAACTATGGACCAGAGGCCAGTTCCAGTCCACCAGCCTTTGCAAATCAGGTTTTATTGGAACATAGCCACACTGTTTGTTTATATATTGTCTGTGGACGGCAGAGTTGAGTGATTGAAACATCATGTGGTGTGCAGACCCAGAAATATTTACTGTCTAACCTGCTACAGAAAATAGTTGCCAAACCCTCATCTACACACCCATTATTCCCAAGTTACTTGCAGATTGACCCTCCTTGCTCGATGTTTCCACATAGATGAGTAAGGGGCATCTCAGACTTAACCATGGCCAGGACAGAACTCAAGACTTCTAGCTCCACTCAGACAGCTTCATTGTCCCCCTAACTTCTCAAGCAGACTCTCCGGGAAGTATACTTGTTCTTCCCCTCACTCCCCATACTTCATCCTTAAACAGGTCCTCACATCTCTGCCTCCAAAACATCCCTCACAGGACTTTATTCTGAAGATAACTGAACCTTTGCAGGAGTTTAAAAGGTGGCTGATTGAATCTGAGAAATCATTGTGAAACAGTGAGGATAGATTAGAGGCCTGTGGGCTAAAGAGAGGGAGTTATTAATTCCGCCCTGTATTGATGAGGGCCTAAATTAAAGCAGCAGTAGGAAGGAAAGAATTAGAAAGATTAAAGATCCTTGAAGGAAAAGTGTTTATGGTGTGTTCTATGGCTGTATATCCTTGCTTGAGATACTGGCCATTCTGGACATTTTTCATATTGCCCCAAATGAAACTTGTCATCTAACAGTGAAACTGTTTCCAAAATCTTTAAGTGCTTTTTCTTTTATTCACTTAAATGTTGTGCAGAAATGTTTATTCAACTTAAAAATCAGAGCCTGGTTGCCTTCTTTGGTCTGTTTTTTAGATTGGAAAATGTTCAGTATCCCTACCAACTCTACATTGCTCCTTCTACCAGCAGTACAGAACGGCCCAGCCCAAATGGTCCAGACAGACCTTTTCAATGTCCAACTTGTGGGGTGCGATTCACCCGAATTCAGAACCTAAAACAGCACATGCTCATCCACTCAGGTAACGTCACCTTCCCTACTGTGGCATGAATGAGTGCTCTAAAACATTTGATTTTGAAATCCCAGTTAAAAATAGCAAACAGGTGGTTTTTAGTTTAAAAATGTATAGGTATCTCTGGGAAGTCAAATGAGAACAGATAAGCCCAGGTCTATTATTGAAATAGCACAGTGTCAGAAGCTGTAGTATGTTTTCCACAGGCATAGCATTAGGGTTAAAGCTTAGCACAGTGTGTGTGTAACGTCAAAAATGCTGGGTGTGTTGGTATGTGTGTATATGTGAGGTTTAGAAGCACAAATACAAATTATAAAGCAAATGGCATTAAAAGGGTGTAAGTGTTCTTTGTACTGTTTTCTCTGTAAGTTAGAAATTTGAAATAAAGTGATTTTTTAATATTTAATAATTTAATTTTAATTCTGCAATCCTGAATTTCTCTGTGCCTTCTCTAGTTAGCTTTGTAGTCCTTTTTTAGTGTGAAAGAGATTTTGGATAAATGATGTGTAAAACAGATTTGAAACTTAAGTTCAGTGATCACAGAAAGGCAGCAGAATTCTTGGAGGCGAAACCTCTGATAAGACTGAAATCTTTTTTTTTTAATATATTTTATTGATTTTTTACAGAGAGGAAGGAAGAGGGATAGAGAGTTAGAAACATCGATGAGAGAGAAACATCGATGAGCTGCCTCCTGCACACTCCCTACTGGGGATGTGCCCGCAACCAAGGTACATGCCTTTGACCGGAATCGAACCTGGCACCCTTCAATCCGCAGGCCGACGCTCTATTCACTGAGCCAAACCGGCTAGGGCAAGCCTGAAATCTTTGCTGTCGTTTTCAGCTGTGCCGTCTCATGTTCCTCTTCTTTAGAAACATCCAACAGTCCTGTGACTAATACCCGTTTCCTGTGACTATTAAATCAACAGATTATATTTTGAGAAGGCTTTAAAAATTTTTTGCCAAAACTGTGATAATGACCTATCACTATTACATTAAATACCTAAAACCCAAGTCATTGCGTGGTAGTTCTATCATGATCATTAATTATGTTCAGAAAAGTTAGATTTTTCTTCTACTCATTTCTCTCAGAGATGAGGAATGAAGAATAGGTACTAACCTTTTTCACATATTTTCAATATAACACTAATGAAATGAAACAAATGTCATAGGGGACTTGGGTTATGGTTAAATACTGTAGTTAAATTGTTTTGAAGTTTGTAAAGTAGATGATTTTGAAGGGTGTTCAGATAACAATTTGAGTGTATATTATCTAGTTTACTCCACCCTCTTGCCTTTTTTTTTTTTTAAGTAGCAACTTCAGATATTCTGTACCTTTCCTGAGTTAAATTGCAGTTCATTTTTGCTGGTGATTTTTGTCTTCTCAAATTATCTCTTGCTACAGAATGATAACTCAGAAATTTTTGAGGTTGATAAACTTCCAGTTAATTTAGTTTTCAAATAATATTTTATTTTATAGGAATTAAACCATTTCAGTGTGACCGCTGTGGAAAAAAGTTCACCAGGGCTTACTCGCTAAAGATGCATCGCCTAAAGCATGAAGGTAAACGCTGTTTCCGGTGCCAGATATGTGGTGCCACTTTCACTTCCTTCGGGGAATATAAGCATCACATGAGGGTTTCCCGGCACATTATCCGCAAGCCTCGGATTTACGAGTGCAAAACATGTGGCGCCATGTTCACCAACTCTGGAAATTTAATCGTGCACCTGAGGAGTCTGAACCATGAAGCGTCAGAGCTAGCAAACTACTTCCAGAGCAGGTGAGGTGCACAGCGAGACCCCCAGGAACACTGCTTTCTGCCCTCTCTTCCTGCTTCTAGGGCAGCCTGCTCTGTCTTTATCAGGCTGCCAGGTAACCAGGCACATTCCTTCTAAAATCCAATCCATACTCCAATCTGATCAGATAAAATTTTGCTGAATCTTCTAAGTATAGACAATTAAAAATATTTCTGAAATTAGGAATCTTTTTCTATAGGACTAGGCTAATCTTCTTGGTTTTTTGTTTTGTTTTTAAGGTTTTAAATACGTTTTTATTGATTACTGAGAGGAAGGGAGAGAGAGAAACATCAATGATGAGAGAGTCATTGACTGGCTGTCTCCTGCACACCTCCTACTGGGGATTGAGGCCACAGCCCGGTGCCCTGACCTAGAATCACACTGATCTCCTGGTTCATAGGTCAGTGCTTAACCACTGAGCAACACTGGCCAGCTCCTGTTGAGTTTTTGTTTTTGGTGTTTTTTTATTGTGTTGTTTTGAGATATATACAGAATAAAATTATAAGGTTAAAGTAATTCTATAGTGGATCTTAAATGGACCTTATTGGAAATTTGCCATGTCAGATGATACTTAGTGATTGATGTTAATAAAATTCTTGAGCATTTCTCTTTTTTAGTTCTATATATAGAAGAGAAATTGCAGTAGCAGTTATAATATGATTATTTAGATCAAGTGGTTTTCCTTTTTTCCTTTCAGCTTAAAAAATCATGCTTTTAATAATAATTTATGATGGAATTGCCTTTCTGATTTATAGGGTATCTGAGGAAATCAGGTTCTAGCTTTGCCACAAACTGCTGTCCTGATGGAGTATGTCACTTTCCCGATGAAGGGGCTTGAAAGTTAGAAAAGAATAAAATGTGAGCTGGGAAGGTGATTTCTAAGGTCCCCTCTAGATACAAAATTCTGTTAATACATCTACTTTTAATACATCTATAGGCATGCTCAATTTCTTATAAAATGAATCTTAAACCACTTATTTTTTAAATATTACTTATCAATAAAATCCAAATATTCCTACATAGATTTTGTTCTCGTCAAATCAGACATTCACTTTGTTTAATGTAATTATTTCTAACAGCATCTAAGGGTCATATCATTGAACCTCGATTATACATGTCACAGTAAACATTGTTTGGGACTAAAATAGTGTCCATTAACCACTCCTCTGTCCTCCATGTCGCGTGTCTGACACCTGACGGGTTTTTAGAAAGTGTCACATGACATCTGAAAGTGCTGTACCTATGAGCAGATTTTAATTTTTTTATAATTGAATTGTCCAGTATTAATAACTATTAAGTGTACAAGTTGACATTTTAGTATTATGAAGCAAAGATTTAAATAAAACATCTAAGATAAGACATATTTCATAATATTTGTTTTAACTACAAAAATACTTATAGAAAATTTAATAAATATTTATAAAAGTATGGAATATAAGAAATTAAGACCTTTTCTGATCTCACCACTCAGGAATAATATTTACTGTTAAAATTTTGGTATATTTTACATTCAAAAATTAAATACTTGTTATATCAATAGACTATTGAGTACTTTCAATATTAGTAAACTCAATAGTTTTTGAGGATTAAAATATAACTAATCTCATAGCATTCTGATTCAAATGTACAAATGTAATGTATTAGTTTTTACATGCCAAATGTAACAACAGGATACACATAAGTTAGTTTTTTTTTTATATTTCTCTATATAGATTTCATATAAGGTCATTTATATATAAGGATACTTACCTTCAGGAAGTAATAAAACTACCTTTTTTTTTTTTTTAGAGGGGAAGAGAGAAACAGCGATTTGTTGTTCCACTTATTTATGCATTCATTGGTTGATTCTTGTATGTGCACTGACTGTAGGTTGAACCCACAACCTTGGCGTATCAGGACAATGCTCTAACCGACAGAGCTACCTGGCCAGGGCTCATATACTTTTTAATAAGTATATAGTCCAAGAAAGGTTAAGCATAATTTTACTCAAATGATCTTTGCTTAATAGAAACTGTCTACATAAAACAAGAGAGGTGCCGAAGCCTGTTTGGCTCAGTGGATGGAGCGTTGGCCTGCGGACTGAAGGGTCCCGGGTTCGATTCCGGTCAGGGGCATGTGCCTGGGTTGCGGGCACATCCCCAGTGGGAGATGTGCTGGAGGCAGCTGATCGATGTTTCTAGCTCTCTATCTCTCTCCCTTCCTCTCTGTAAAAACTCAATAAAAGATATATAAAAAAAATTTTTTTAAATAAATAAAAAAAACAAGAGAGGTGACATTGAATCTTATCTATTGGTGGTAGTGAGAGTTGATATACTTTGGTTTTAATAGAGTGCTTAGGTTCATTTTTAGGACAATTTAAAAGTTAAATTCCTAATTTTTGTTGTTAATCCTCAGCTGAGGATATTTTTCCATTGATTTTTAGAGGTTGGAAAGGAGGGTGAGAGACAGAAACATCAATTAGTTGCCTTCTGCACGCACCCCAAACAGGGCCCATTATCAAGCCTGCAACCGAGGTCCGAGCCCTTGACCAGAATCAAACCCAGGAACCTTCAGTCCACAGGCTGATGATCTATCCACTGAACAAAACTGGCGAGGACTAAAATCTTAAATATAAAACATCCTGATCTTGTTTTATAGACTAGGTCTTTTTATTGTCTCGTTTACTACAGGTTTGAGAACTAACTCTCTGTTTCATCCTTTGCCTCTTAGTGATTTCCTAGTACCGGACTACTTAAACCACGAGCAAGAAGAGGCCCTTGTTCAGTATGACCTTGGAGAACACAGTTTTGAAAGCAGCTCCTCTGTTCAGATGCCTGTGATTTCACAGGTCTCCTCGACCCAGAACTGCGAAAGCACTTTTCCCCTGGGGTCTCTCGCCGGGCTGGCAGAAAAGGAGGAAGAAGTGACAGAGCAGCCCAAGACCAGTGCTTGTGCCGAGGCCACTGGAGAGGACCCCCCCAAATCAGAGCTGTCTTCTATAACTATTGAGTAATTTCATGGTTTGGCTTCATTTTGGTTTTTTGGAAGTGCCTGTGCTTGGTCTTGTACATTTAAATTTAATTTAATTTTTTAAAAAAGGTTTTGGGGAAGAATTTTCCTTTTTACTTTGTGAACTCTGCAATTCACGACTGGGAGACTGCTTCTGTAAGTACACAATAACATGGTGTCGGAATATAATACATTGTTGACTGTAAGGAGAACCAATTGACTTAAAACATGTAGTCGTTTCTCCTTGCATTGCTGTAGTAGACTAACAACAGATCATTAGGTAACGAACCGGGTGAATGTTGACCTTCCCGAGATGAAAGGGCACACCAGAAACATACTAAAGGAATGTGACAGATGGCCTGGATAGATGTTTACCCCTGTACACCGGATGTTGTACAGTATTTTGTAAAGCCTTTTGCTTCTGGAAGTATTTATGGTAAGCTAGCTTAAAAATTATTAGGGTAAATACTCTTTTTTTTTTTCACTTTAGAGAGAAAGAGGAGATAGAAGGATCAATGGTGAGAGAGAATCGTCTATCAGCTGCCTCCTGTATGCCCCACACTGGGGATGGAGCCTGCAACCCGGGCATGTGCCCTGACCAGGAATCAAACCGTGACCTCCTGGTTCATAGGTCAACACTCAACCACTGTGCCATGTTGACTGGGCAGGGTTTTTTTTAAGTTTTGTCCTTTCTATTCTGATACTTCATGGTGAAAATTTGATATTGGAATAGGCATTCTTTGAATCTTTATAGAACTAGTCCTCCAAATAATCTTACCTTTCTTCTACAAAAGAAGGCAAAAACCATGATTGAGAATAGTCCAGCTATGCATGAAATGACCAGGAATGGAGAATGTAGTACATAAATTCCAATTTCATAGGAGCTCTTTATAATACTACTTTTCTAGCTGAAGTTGTCCAGCTGGTCTTTGAATGTTAATGTCTGACTAATTAGGTCACTGCCTAAATTAGTTTCCTCTTTCCCCACCCACAATACTTTCTCTTGCATATGCGGTCATGATACTATATAAAGGAAAAATATTGGAGATATTCTATATTTTATATGTAGGTTTATGTATTGTTGGGGATGTTTTTATTGTGCTGTTTTAGACAAAATAAAAATTATATTAAGACTACGTTCTTAACCCAGCTAAGATTGTTTACAAAAATTCCATATGGCAGTGATAGGTTATCCTTGTCCCAAAATATTTTTAGACATTGCCAAGGTTATTAAAATCAGTTAGTGTAGTTTTTACACAATGTAAGCAATAATGTAAAAGATGAGGATAGTCTATAGAATGATGGTCTGTGACTCAGAAATCTGGGTGGAAACAGTTGTTAAAAGTAAAGAAAAACTAAAAATCTTAAATTAATGAATATCACCTTTTTGCTGCTAACTAATGAAACGTTCTGATTTATAGTTGAATTTATATGATACTCTGGGCTGGAGTATACTTTCCATCTAGTACCAGTTAAAGCATCACTTACCTTGATCTGGAATATTCATGAGTTTATGAACAATGAACTTTGAGTAACTATGTATATACCCGAAGTTTAATAATTATGAAAGCACCTGATTAGATCAGAAAAAAGGGGATTAAAATACAGTTTCTTATTCAGCAAACAAGATTTGAATTTTGTCCAGGTGCTAGACCTTAATAATAAAACATATTTTTTAAGTTTTAGTGATTTGTTTCTTTTTTTTTTTAATTTGCTAATTCTGTAATTTATTTTATCCCCCCACAAATGTAAAGGAAGGAAAAGTAAACTCTGAAGTGTTTTAAGGCTAATTTTCTTTTAGCCTCTTTCCGTATTCTTCTGTCTTTAACTTGTTTCCAACTCCTAATCTCATTCATGAACTCATTCTTACCCCTTTGCTCTCAAATGTGTGCATGTTACCTTCAGGAAAGTCAGCATAGACAGGTTATGATGGGTTCACACTTACGCTTCTTGACTAACAGGATTGAATTGCTTCCTACCGCAGACACGTAGTAACAGTCCTGCTGTGTCCCAGCTGGAAAGGCCAGCAGTTCTTATTTCCAGTGTCATATACTTGGAAAACTGTTATGCCTGCCAGTAGGTAAACACAGTTAATTTTTTAATCTTACCTGGACGAGACAAACAGGTAAAATTATGATCAGAAGTTGGTGCCCTCAGTTCTAAGAGTTATTTTTAAACAAAAGGAAAAGAAATGGAGTTAAATAAATGTGTTAGAATCTTGTTGGTAGAAGGTGTTTTGGCACACCTGCCTGAGAACTCTGTTCTAACAGAGCTGGCACCGCATGGGCAGCTCTAAGGTAGTCTGTGTTCCCAGAATGCGGAATTACCACCGCCGGCTATTCTTCCCCAGATGGAAACTTTAGATTTTCATTGGCAATTAACAATTTCACAGATTGCCAATTTTTTGAAAAATTAAGAGTATAATACTGTGAAAATGCATACTTAGTTACTTGTCTTCTTCCCAAATCTTAGCAATATGGTTAACTAACTAGAATTTAACATAAAACGATATAAACAAAGGCCTTCTCTCTTTCAGGGAAGCTCACGTTTTTCTTGACAGCACAGTTTAAAGATATTTGGCTTATAGATCCCTTTCGAGGAATAATTGTACATAGTGGTAATTGGGTTTATTTAAAATTCATGCAAGTGAGGGATGTTTGGAAAACATTGCAAACAGATGAAAGCCAGTTACATTATCTCAGTCATTAGAAACTGTCAGTATAATTAAACATTAAAGAGTCCAGTTTAGAATACTTAAGCATACCTGTCTTTTTTAAGGCCCAAGAGGTTAACTGATATTTCAAGGGCTTAAATTTTAGGATATGGAATAAGTTGCCTTTTTAAAACCAAGTATTTTATTCAAGAAACACATGTATTTTCCATGTTTAAGTTACCACATACGTGTGATATAGTTTAGAAATGAGCAAAGATGTTTGCAGTGGTGCACTGGGCGTTAGGTTCCTGCAGTCGCTCTCCATTTCTAACAGCGGACACATCGGGCATGTCAGTGATTATACTAATTCAGAAACAGGTAAATATTGGGTTTTATTTAATATTTTTGGAATTTTAAGTTTTCTGTAAAGGGAAGCAGAAGGAGTTTGTCGCCCGCAAATATATTTAAACTGATTTTTCTTAATTTGAATTTCAAGTCATCTTAATTTTTATTTCAAGTAATTAGTTATACATTTAGTTACATTTTCAGTTTTTAAAGTTCTCGATTTCAGTGAGACAAGTGTACTAAGATGTTTAAATAGCCTCATGCAGTCTTATATTTCAGCAAGCACTCTGGCTTACAGTAATTTGGTTCCTTGTTATGACATAATGCCCTTTGGCTTTCAAAACAAAAAAGCTTCCATTTCACTGAAGTATTTACCAGAGTGGTGGACTAGCCAGCACATGTGACGTATTTATTATTGATAACACTGTTGCCTGCAAACTACTGAGTCAGTCTCTCCTGATGTGGACACGGTTCCCTGGGAGCCTTTGAAAGTTGTATTGCTCTTTTAGTATTTTATTTCTTATTTTTTATTCTTGTACTTACCTTAATCTAAATAGAGGCCAGTTGTCTGGTTTAGTGGCTTTTATTTTGAAGACTCTCAGATCGTGTGTTCATCTCTTCAGTTTTGTAGTCCCTGGGGAAAAAACAACAACATTACTGCGTGGTGATGTATACTGAGTTGTACGTGGAAAGAATTAGTACTTGATGAATGTACAATCCTAAAATTGTAGTATTTAACTGAAAAGTTTGAGATTTGAGGAATTGAAGAGAATAGAAACTCTCATGCAGCACTTAAGTATTTCCACTCATCTGGGGAAGGGGAAGTTACAACTGAAATATATATGTACAAGTGAGGGATCATAGTTTTCTAGGTGGTAATATTAATTGGGGGGAGGCCTCCAAGTTCGCTTTGAAAGGACACAAAGTTGCTAAAAGGTAATGTGGTTTTTCCACTGTGAGTCATTGACATAACATGCTTTATTTATATTTATGTTTTGAAAGTTACTAAAAGAATATATAGAAGCATGATTTTTTTTCTGAAGCAGTGAAACAAAATTGGGGGAATCTCCATTATAGTAAACACATCTGTGGGGAATAGTTATAGCTGAACATAGTCCTACAGGCTTTACGTTAAAATCATCAAACTCGTCAGTAACTCCTTATTTTGCTTGGAACCATTTTTATCTTTGGGTTGTCTTACCATGTGGATAGACCTCAGCAAGACAAATTTGCAAAGAGCAATAATGGTTCAGATTAAACAATGAAGTGAAAGTGAGCCAGCTTTCAGGTTCAACTAAGGAACGGACACTCTGGATATTTCATTTTTAGAATTATAAGAATCGAGATTTATTAATAGAAAGTTAAATCTGTCAGCTTATGGGAGAAGACTTGGTGACATCATAGGTGTACTTTTTTTTACTTCATAGTAAACTATACAGTTAGGTGGTTTCACTATATCATAGTGGTTATATTTTTATGATAAAAAAAAAGTAATAGATCCATGCATTTCTGCCTTTACAAATAGCCTCTGCGCGCTGGAAGGCGATGGCACAGGACTGTCGGTTGGCAGAATCTGAGCAATGGGCCTGCCTGAGAGTCTGAGTTGAGCAACCTCCCTCTGCATAGGCCCTGGGCAGTTCCAACCAATGCCAGGGATCCTGTTTACAGGATCATTTACAAAGAACGAGGAGTTCAGACCGTTGATAGAGAACAAAAACATATTGAAATTGTTTTAAACTCATTTTTCCCCCAAGATTTTGAGAGAGAGAGGAAGGGAAAGGGATAGAAACCTCAGTGAGAGAGAAACATCATTGATTGGCTGTCTCCTGCATGCCCCCCAGTGGGGATCAAGCCTGCAACTTGGGCATGTGTCCTGACTGGGAATGAACCGGTGACCTCTTGGCTCCTGGGTTGATGCTCAACCCCTGAGCCAAACCATGGGGGGGGGGCGGGGGGTTAAATTTTAGTTTGAAGTGCCTCTTTCTAAAATGAATTTTTTATTGCCTTTCTCTTCTCAGTTGAACAATTTTTCTGATTAGCTTAAAACACTGGGCTCAATTGTGATGATTCATTGATAAAATTGCTGCCTAATGGTTTAGGGGGCTACAGTTTCATAATTTCTTTTAAATTGTCCTTCTTTTGCCAAATGCCACCTAACCATATCCAGGTTTCATTATTCAGTTACGTTTAAAAAAGTCTCATTGTAAATGAATGTTCAGGTCACCAAACAGTCTGTCCCCTGCTGAGGGGAGGTCCTCCTGTTCTCCAGGGGCCCTCGTCTCCCCACCCTTCTCCTCCGGGTGTCGGTGGGGCTGGTCATTCAAAGACGGGGAGCATTCAGGCAGCTTCTCCGAGAGCTTTCTCTGAGTTAGCTGGTGTTGCAGGTGGCAGATGCCGAGTCCAGGCCCTCATGCTGACAGGAGTCCCGCACGTTGTTGGAAGTTGCACTGCTCTTCGTCTTTCAGGTGCCTGGAGTGAGTGCCATCGGGGATTTATTTG